AATGATCAATTCATTATGATGCCGTTAATCCTGTCTTGCCCAATTTGAATATGCTCGTATGTGTTTCTCTTGATTTTCTTTGGATGTTCCATGATCTTCGAGTGAAGTGATTCTGGAATGATTGTACTTGATCAATCTCATAATTTGAATCTCGAAGCGTTATTTGAATCGAGTGAATCTTTGCATATGCATATTGTCTTCTTTTTCTTCACTTTTTCCTTTATTTTTGTTTCTCTTTTTTATTTTCTCTTTACTTTTTTTTTTTCTCTTTTTTCTATTTTTTTGATTGGATCTTCGCACTTGGCATTTGGTATCTCCTTTGGATTGATGTCTTCACTCATGTGAGCAGATTTCTTCCACCTTGCCCCCTAGTGTGGAGGGTGATCATTGATTAGGGTTGAATCAGAAGAAAAATACTATCGACTAAAAAGGGGACACAAGAGATATATATATATTTTCTCATGTTGTGAAGGGATAAAGAAAGAAAGCCGTTCATCATTTCATACATGGAAGTCTTCACAAAAGAGGTATCCCCAGGGGGATAGATTTTCAGGATTAATTTTATTCACATGAAAACAGTGTAATTAATGCATGATAGAATTATTTAGAATGAATTCTTCTCACGAAAACAGTGTAATTAATGCATGATAGAATTATTTAGAATGAATTATTCTTTCTGCTTCTTACTCTCAACATGTCTCAATGTTCAGGCTCCCTGCGAGATGCCCCAAGTTGTGTCTTAGAAGAATGCTCATGTTCAAATGAACAACTTGTACTCAATGCCTTAGGTCTTAGTGGTATAAAAAAGTTAATTTTGAGTCTAAAAGGATAGTGGTGTGACTTTATTGACTAAAAAAAAGGTTCAAAAGTTTCAAAGGGTGGTAATGTCAAAATATGTTTTTTTTGTAATGACCATGAATTATTTTGGGTAAAGAATCAAGGTATTTTATTTTGGGGTTTGAGACAGTATAAGAAAGGTCTAATCTTGCCATATGTCAAAAATCTATAATTCTTGAAGAATTAAAAGAATCCTTAATTCATTTAATATTCGAAGAACTAAAGATTAAAACTAGTTCAATTATTCCACCTTAAAAGGTAGCATAAATTCAGTCATTTAAAAGTTTGAGCAAACATGAAAGATTAAAAATGTGTTCAAACAAGACAATGCTCTCAATGCAAATGGTAGATGCAATGCCCCTTCTTCGGTTGCCCATGCCTCTGAATCCATTAGGTTTTGGATTTTGCGCTTCAGTGCCTTACAATTCTCAGAGGAATATCTGGAGCTTCCTATGTGGTAATTGCACACAGCTTCAACATCGCATCCCTTAGGATATGGGGAATCTTTTCTCAAATTTTGGCAGACTTAGTCCTACAATCAGCTGATCAGGCTCCCACTGAACTGATTTCAGTTTTTTCTTTAATTGTTAAAATCTTGCTTATATGTGGTGGCATGTGGTTAAGATTACTTCATCGAATCCTCCATGAAGAAATTTTAATGTTTATGAAAATACTTAAAAATGAAATGTAGATGCAAAATGCAAAAATGCATGAAATGTTCGAGGCATTAATCCGAAAACATGTCTGTTATTATAAATAATCTTTATTGGGACAAAAATGTTTTATCTTTTAAGAGACAATAAACATATTTAAAGGTACATTCGGACTAAATCCTCTAGACCTTGAAACAAGTTAACTAGTTTTCTGCCTTCGTCTGTCACCGGTCGAATACCCTGCCGAACCGCTCCAGCTTCTCTGGCTAAATCGTGCAAGTGACGAGCTGTTTTTACTTGTTCCCAGAAGTATCGAATGACTGCATCTCTGGCTTTCATCCTTTGCTGAACCTGTTCTATAACGGAAACGCCCCTGAAATCCTCTATCAAATGGATTATCTGAAGTTCATTGAATTTGTCGACAATGGCTTCCAATTCAGCTATCGTTTTGTCATCTTGTTCTTGTTGTCTTCGAAGGGACTCTCGAGGCCAGTAACATTTTTCTCGTCTTTCCCCTGCCACCTTTGTCAACCAATTTTTGAAAAGTTGACTTTTGATGTACTTGATTATGGGCACCACGTCTTCTTGATTGAATGTGACACATAATTGCCTTGCAGAATGTCTCCCTTTTCCTTCTGAGTCTTTTTCTGACCATAGTCGGACCCCTGCGTTTTTCACCTCTTGTATTACAACCCCTTTGTCCATTAATGCAAATTATTCATGTTTAACAAACATTTTTTTTGGATCAATACCACTTTTAAATTATGCGAATGATGAAAACAAAATGAAAGATAACAAAAAATAAAAAGAGTTAGCGAGGTAAATCAAGACAATAATAAAAATGAAAAATCCTACCCCATATGATATCTACCCCACATGCTTATTATTCATACTCGGACATGATCTCTATCCCACAAGTTGATTTTGAACAAGTCCTAACCACATAAATTTCTAGTTTTGAACTAGAAATAGAGCAGGAAATAATATCAAAGCAGCCTAGGGTTTGAAATGAAGTTTTGGGTGGGCTCTAATTCCATGTAATCTCCCGGTTTAGGTTCTAAAAAGGGTATCCGAGTTCTCCTTGTTGGTGCCCCCTTGGGCTTGCCATACCCTTAGTCCTAAACCCATTACAGGCTCATGTGGACTAAGTTAAACTCGAGAGGATACATTCTCTTATGCTTATACGGAGAATAAATTTACACGGAAGCATAAGGTATATGAATCCCGAAGGTTACTTGCTAGGCCCATACGGAGAATAAATTCACACGAAGGCGTCGCTTTCACCACCACTTAAATAGGGTTCGGAGCTCGGGTATAGAGTCTGAGATGAAATTTTTTCCAAAAATCTGAAATCATTGAAAAAACATTAATACAACAATTTATTTGGAAAAAAAATCAAAGATAAAAAATTGGAATCGAATAAATAAATTAAAATTAAAATTTAATTTTCGCTAAAAAAAACAACCGAAAATTAATTTCGGCCTGACTCACTTACCTTTCCCCAGCGGAGTCGCCAAGCTATCGGAACCGTCTTTCGGTTGGGCCTGGAATTGGGCTTCGATTTGAGTGATTGGGTTGGAGTCGCCACCGATCATTTATTTTAAAACAAATGGGTTGATCGGGTACCGTCTTACCTGATCTGTATTTTACCAGAAACGTGTCGGGTTCGGGAGTCGGTTACGGTCAAGGAAGGATTAGCACCCTTGAACCGCCCTTTCGGTACCAATTAATTTGCCGGTTATCTTTATCGCGAAAATTAAAATGTAAATTAAAACTTAAAGATTCAATTCAAATTAATTACCTTTGATCGATTGAAACTATCCCTAAAACAATGTTAGATAAAAATATATAAATAAATAAATTAATGTTAAATAAATGAAAGGAAAAAAAGGGAAAAAATAAGAAAAATAAAGATAAAGAAAATAAAAAAGATATAAATCAGAAATACAAAATAACAATAGTAAAAAAAATGAAAAGAAAACACATTGAAATTACAAGTAAACAAAAAAATGTTTAAAGGATCATATTAAAATAAAAAAAAATTTATGGACCAGAGGGATGCTAAAAAAACTGCAAAAACAAAAGAATAAAAGCTTAGGGGAATAATTAAACCATATATAAAAAATGACCAAAATAAAATTTACAAATATAGTAATGAAAATCAATATTAGTAATAATATATTATATATGAAATCAGTGACTGAAATGAAAAAGAATAAAAATCGATGGCCGAATTAAAGCAAAATGAAATAGAACATCCATATCAGAATAAACAAATAACATGACCCTGGTGATTATAATGAACTGAAAGTATATTAAGTAGCTTGAAATAAAAGGAATTAAATTTGCAAACACAGCTGGAATATAAGGCTTACAAAGAGAGAGGACTAAAAATATAATTATCCCCAGCTGAACCAAATCACATGTTACGCCACTTACTTGAAAAATAGAGAGAGGGAGGCACTAAATGCCAAATGGTACTGCCTGTGGCAATAAAGCATTTTTATGCATTTTTAAAAAAAAGAAAGAAAAGCACATGTAGTCCGCTGGAAACCTCATTAGAAAGGAACTCAAACCGATCCTTTGCCTCATCGATGATGACAAATCAGAAGGCGGATCAATATTTCACTGCCTCGAAAAGCATATCTAAATCATCGCCCTTGATGGTATGGTAAAGAAATTCCATCAAATTGGGTTATGTGAAAATATAATTTTATAAATTCTACATCAATTATGTTTGTTACTTTTCATAAATGTTTAACATAATTTAATATGTGGTAAGATTTATTGTTTTCTCTTCTAAAGGTAAATTACCTATGAGCCTTTACATCCATCACAATTTTTTTTCAATTTATTTTTTCACCAATTAGATCAACTCGTGAACTTTTGAGATTGAACTAAAACAAAATTCAAATCATAATGAAAGTATATTTTTTAAATTAGCAAATATAATATGATTTGATTAACATCAATTAACAATATTAACATTTATTACGATTAGAAGTAGTCTTAAAACAGCCTTAACCATTCAGATTTTATCTCATCCCATAGAAACAAGATTATTCAAACTTAAATCATTGAGAAAAACAAACCACCCTACATTAATAGGACCACTCAATGAATTCACGATGTTATCAATTTTTTTATTAAACTAAGATGATTATAAAGTAATATTTATTTTAAATATTCTTAATTATTTGATAATGACTACTTAATCACCTTACTATAATTATTGATACTAAAACCCGTAACCTCTAGGAACTTAAATGTCAATGTACATAAAATACAATGACCAAGGGATGAATTTATCTTGCATACCAAATCCAACTTCTGCCACTGCGACCCCATGTTTTACCAATTAAAATAATTAAAAAAATTGGAAAGTCTTTTCTGACATCTCTCTCTCTCTCTCTCTCTCTCACTTTCACTATTATAAACCAAACCCTTATAAATCTGTTGCTGCTTCGTCCATCTTATTTTCCCTTTGTTCTCTCCTCCAGGACCAAAGACCTCTCCTTTTATCTCTCATTTCCCCTAATTTATCATTCTCAAACAACAACAAAGACTTATGCAAACGCAGAATCAAATGGCGGTCGAAGCTCCGAATATGAATCTTTTTCCTCCTCGGTTCATCCCCAACGGGTAAACTTCGAAATACCCGCCTCCGTTTCTGTTTAAATTCTGGGGTTTTTCCCCTTCATTTTTTAACGCGGGGTTTTGATTTTGGTTGTAGCAGAGATTTTATGAAAGTTAATCAAGGGAGGGGGAATCAATACAATACCCAGATGACCACCTGTGTTCCTTTGGCTGAAACAACCTTTTATCAATCTATTTGCAAAACTTCAATCAACAAAGCTGACAGTGGGGTTACGTATAACGTGAATATCCCAGTTTCGGCTCAGAGGATAAGGCCAAGAGATGAATCGCACACAGTTCCTCGAAAGAACAAATTTTCTGGCGTTTTCTCTCAGATCCAGCAACAACAGCAACAGGAAATCGACCGTTTGATTGCTCAACATGTGAGTGTTCTTTCTAGGAAAAGGAAATCAAGTGTTGTCTAATGGTGATTTATTCATGTTTTTTTTGTTGTTGATTACTTTACAGATAGAGAAGGTAAGTGTGGAGGTTGAAGAAAGGAGGAAGAAGCAGTCGAGAACGTTGATGACGGCGATCCAAGAAGGTGTTATGAAGAAACTGAAGGAGAAAGACGATGAGATTCAAAGAATGGGGAAACTGAACTTGGTTCTTCAAGAAAGGGCGAAAAGCCTCTGTCTGGAGAACCAACTATGGCGGGACTTGGCTCAGACGAACGAAGCCACCGCCAATTCTCTACGCACCAATCTAGAACAGGTCCTCGCCCATGTCGGCGAAGAACGCCACGCGAACAGCGGAGGGTCGGCTAATGATGCCGAGTCTAGCTGCGGAAGCAACGACGGAGGGTGGCGCAGGGTGGTGGGGCCGCCGCAAGAGCAGGCGGCAGGGAAGTGCGGAAAGTGCGGGGAGAAGGAGTCCAGTGTGGTGTTGCTGCCATGCCGGCATCTCTGTCTGTGTGCAATGTGCGGGTCCACTCGGGTAGCCACTTGCCCCGTCTGTGACTCTGTCACCAATGCCAGTGTTCATGTTAACATGTCTTGAAACAAATTTGTTGTCTCTTTTATTTAGAGTTTTAGTGAAAAGAAAAACAAAATACAGCAAAAAAAAAAAAACATGTTTCAAGAAATGGATCATATAAATTTTCTTTATTTCTCCTCCCATCTTTGGTGTTAAATTGTGAGCATTTTTTTATCAAATCCGAAATTTTGATTAATTAATTGGTCATTAGAAGTTAAATTTCAATCCATCCAACTTAAACTCATTAATATTTTAATATTTAATTTATATTAATCAATCAATAGAATAAATATCGATAATTAAATGTTATATATTACCCACTAACTAGCTGTTTCCAGGTAATTAATACTTAATTGTAGGATTATGCTATTAATATGCCTAATCCTACTATCTAAAGGGACTAAGGGAGGTTAGGTTTCTCGTCATTATTTGAAAGAAAGAAATTAGGCCGATCCGTGCTTAATTATGAAGTTCATTCGTTAACTTTATAAAATTAATAAATCAACCTTATTGTTTAAATTTATTACACTTTAGTTCTCATGTTTTAAGAAAATTGAATTGTTATTCAATTACGGTAATTAGGGTAATTTTAATTAATAAAATTTGGGGTTTAAAATTTAATTTTATTATTGTACTAAATTAAAATTTACAATTGCAAGAGAGTGAAGAATATTTTTACCATTTGGGGTCAAAGTTGGAAGTCCCCGCACTTGCCTTCTATCGGCAGAACTCATGAAATTATTTTTTTTAACTTGCTGTATATGAATTATAGATTTTGTTGTATATAAAATGTTGAATTACTAATTTTTAGGTTAATAATTTAATAATAAAATTATATTTTATTCATAAAATGTAAAATTATGTTACGTTATTTAGTTAATTTAGCTGAGATGTAAGATTATTACTTTATTAGTTAATAGAATATAAGACGATCTATAAATACTTTCTTCTAAATTTCTCTTGTTATAATTATTTTTAATAAAAATATTTATTTTAATATATTTAAATTTCATAAAAAATAAAATAGATTTTAAAAAAAATAAAAATAAGCATTCCCCTCATCTCTACTTTCATCTTATTACAAAATTAGGATATTTAATGAATAATACCCAGGGACGGAGCTCCTTTAGGGTACAAGGGGACCCCAACCCCCGTTAAAATTTATATTTGATATAATTTTGGTTTAATAGTATATTAATTCATGTAAAAATAAATATTTAAATTTAAAAAATTTTTTTAAATATTTAATCATGTAGAGGTCGAACTAAAGAATGACAAGTCTGTGTTCTCAAATTTTTGGTCTAATTGCAATTTAAATCATTGTAAGTTTAAAAGTTAGACAAATTAGAAGTTGTCTTTTGGGTTTTGAGTTTTTTTTTTTTTTAATTTAGGGTGAATACAATATATGTACAAAGACTTTTAACTATTAGACAATTAACGCTAATACCCCTACATACGTGTTTGAACTCGTGACCTCAAGGATAACAATCCCTTAATCACTAAAGTCGCTTGGTTCATGCTGGATTTCGAGTTTAAATACGTAATAAGTTTTTATATTTTTTCTTAAATAGTATAATATTTCGGCCCCTGCCAATATTTAATTCTGGCTCCGATAGTACCTATAATGTTATTACATGGAAATTTGTAAAAATTGTGAAAAACACCGAGCCTCCTCTCTTTTGGATTCTAATCAGATTGAGAAGAGAAGAATGGCAATTTTTTTCATCTTCTTCAGGCTTCTTAATGTCATTGATTAATGCTTACTTAATCTAGTGAGAGAAAGTCTGAAAATAGAGAAAAATCAAGAATACATGTGTTATAAAATATAGTTTTGGAAAGTTATAGCATTAATCTTCATTTTAGTGGTCTTATTGTTGAAATCCAAGCAAGATAATTGAACCCTAAACCTTAAATTATTATATTTGGCTTACATATGTGATAGATTCTTCTATTTTGATTGTGTAATTTGTATTTTGTGTGTTTCAAAGTATAATAGATAGTTGGTTCGTCAAAAGCTAAAAGGAAAAAGAAAAATATTGATTAATCGATAAATATGAAAAATATCGTAAGTTTAGATTTTGTAAGTGTAGTCCATTTTATGTTTGTTTGTGTGTTTATATTGCTTTGATATTGTATGTAAAGGTTAAATTTATATATTGTGTTTAAACGAGAGTTTTGACTCTAAGCCAAGCTTTCAATTATTATGTATAGAACTGTAAATGAACCGGACGAATACAGACGAATGAATGTTCATGTTCATATTCGTTTGTTGATGAATGCAATTTGTTCATGTTCGTCAATATTTATTTGTTAAAATGATAAATGAACGTAAGTGAACACAAGTGAACGTAAATGAACATAAATGGACGAACAGAAAATGTAACTTTCTTTTAAATCAAGCAAAAATTATTTTTTAAAAAATAAATAAATGAACATAAATATAAATTTAATTAAACAAATGAACATAAATGAACGGATTGTCGAACATAAACGAACATAAAAAAACCGATTACTGAATGTTCATGAATATAAATGAACGAACAAACCCTTTGTTAGTGATTGTTTATTTAATTAAATGAACAAATTTTTGTACTGGGTCGTTCATTTAATAATTAAACAAACTACATACTTCAGGAATTAGTTGTCAAATGTTCGATTGGTTCACAACCCTAATCATACTTGATACTTCAATAAGAAGGAGGTTTTTAACAAAATCCCATCTTTTCTTTTCATATATATATATTACTAAATGAAATTGCTATTGTAATACCCTCCAAATTTTGAATAGTGACTAAAATGTAAGTTTTGAAAGTTTGAGTGCTAAAGTATAAACTTAGTAAAAGTTTAGGGACCAAAAATGTAATTTTAAAAAGTTATATATTTTAACATGTAAATGATCAGTTTGACCTAAAACAAGGATTTTTGTGGGGAATCAAATTTTCGATATGGGATTTGTGTTAAAAGCTATAAAGCGATAAAGTTCGGTATTGAAATTGGATAATCGGATCGAACCTGAATTTTATAAAAATTTGAAGGATGTTAGAGGTTGGAAATATTATTTTCATATTTTAGATCAAAGAAATTTGGCTCAAAACAGTGTAACTTTTCTGATTTGGTCGAACAGTGGAATTTTAGTGACTAAAGTGCAATTTTTGAAAATTGCATGGCCAAAGTGAAAAGTAAAAGTCAAGTTGATTCATCTTTAACTAATGAATATTTTAATGGAAGATAATGCAATGACATTGGTAATTATCAAGTTTAATTAGTGGTATTTTTGGGATTTCTCATTAATTGAAATTTAAATTCAGTTATATTATTAAAGTATCATGTGTCAAGGTTAATAAATACTAGATTAATCACGAAAATTAGCACAAAATCATCTCCTTCAAGCTTGTCCGAAACCACCATTTCTCCAAGGTAAACATTTTATTTTTGATCTTTAAACTTACATGATTGATTTTTGGACTAAGTTATGAATTAGAGAATTAATCTACATGAAATTCTCTATCATTTGGTACCAATATTTTCATAGTGAAAATGCTTATATGTTCAGATTGAATGTTACAATTTATGTAGAGTTTTTGGAGTTTGAAGAATTAATGAAAGATTATTATGTTTCTGATGTTGGAGATTAATTTTCAAGCATGTATGATGTTTAAAATCAAGTGTAGAATGATTTAAAGCATTTGGCCTAATTAGGGTTTTGGTGATTGATTGGATTTTGGTTCAATTAGATGTTGTGTTGATTAGAGTGGAATGAATTTGAAGTAAGGAAGTTGAATTCATGCTTGAAATTGAATGAAAATCTAGTCTTATGATCATAGTGACATTCAACCATTGGGGAAAATTAGGGAAAATATTGAAAAATTTCTTATGGTTTAGAATTGATATTAGAAGTGTTGTATGTGACTTGGAAATCAATTTGGAGCCTTGAGTTAGTAGAAGGGTTAATATACAAGTTTTGAGAATTGTGGGATATTATTGAAAGAATGTAATATTTGAAGGGTTAATGCTGATTTTTTATAGTTGAAAATGTTGGAAATTTAAGTTGGAAAGTTGTTTGGAATCAAATTTCAAATTTGGTAAAATTTGAGGGTAGAATTCAAAAAGTCTCAATATTATGGGAACTTGATTTTAAGTTTATTAAATGTGGAAGTGTCATTTGAGTAAATTATGATAATTCTGGAAATTTGTTGAATTATGTTTCGATATAACAAATTTAAAGGAAAAATGTTTTTGGACTTGAATTGAATTTATTCAAAGTTTTCAAAAGGTTTCAAAAATAATTCAAAGTCCATTAAATTCGAATTTGAGCAAAAATGTTAATAGGTACCGATACCCCCAGAGGTATCCATACCCCCATGAAGGCTCAAATTACAGAATGCAAAAAGGGTATCCATACACGGGTACCGATACCCCCTGGCTGCAACAACTAGTTTAATTTGAATTTAATGAAGGAGTACCGATACCCTATGGTGGGGTACCGATACCCCTTATTATGGGCAGCATTGTTTTGCAGAAAAATCATCCCCAAACGGCTCCAAAACATTCCCAATGGCTATATACGACTTCAAACGCATTCCAAGCTATAAATACAAGCTGAGGACACTTGAAGAAGTGAGAGAACAACTATCTAAGCAATCAAAAACAAGAGAAGAGTTTTTCATTCTTATTTCATCTTTCTCTTGTAAATATTTTATTCTTGTGAGCTCAATCTTTTAAACACCTACCTTAGAGAGGTTTTCTTGTTTACGTTTCTTATCCTTTGTAAAGGGGAAAGGTTCTAGCTAAGCCCGTGTAAAAGCTAGGGAAATGTTCTAGTTTAGCCATTGAAAAACTAGGAAATTATAAAGGTTATCTCTTTGTCATTAAAAAAGAAAGAACAAATTAGTGAATTTGTTGGAAAATCCTTTGTGAGGAGCTAAGCTAGTGGATGTAGACTTGGTTGAGAAGTCGAACCACTATAAATCGCTATGCAAATTTCTATATTTCAATCTCCTTACTCCCTAAACACAAAAACCATTTCGATCCTTCTTTGCAAACCTATTCGGTTGTCAATTCGAGCTTACGAAAATCC